CCTGAATAGCTGAGATTTCAATCCATTAGGACTTGCCAAAGCCAATACCTATGAAAATTTGGTATCATTTATGAATTTTTCCCTAATTTTATGTAATTACATATCCCTTGTGTGACAAGAACTAGGTATGAAATATTTAAAATGGGAACTAACAATCAAAATAATGGAATCCAAAACTATATTCTGTTAGTATCTGAATAGACATAATTAAGAGTGCCAAGCAATGGAATAAAAACCTCATCTTCTTATTTACATTTCTAGCACATTATTGGAAAGGAGTAAAAATCTGCTGATGACTACCCACAGATTCCAGAAATACTTTTTACATGCAGTAATATTTACAAGGAGCATTTTTTGGGGATAATATAAATGTTACTAAGTTCATCTGTTGGCACTGTGCACTATCTCCCTTAGGAAAAGGTTAAGCAATCAAATGAGCTTTTCAAATAAAATCCAGGGCAAATGACCTGAAGAAGCCATGCCTAAAACAAAAATCCTTACCTAAACTCCTACTGTTTTTCTATTAAAGTAAAAATAATGGGGATTGAAATGCAGGTCAAGACTGCAAAGAGCCAACTACTGTGGCACATGCCTGTATTCCCAGCACTTGGGAGGTTGAGGCAGGTGGATTGCTGTGAATTCAGGGCCAGCCTGGGCTACATCGTGAGTTCAAGGCCAGCCTGAACTACACAGTACACCTATTAGATTGGCAAAATCAATCCTGATTATACCAAGTGTTGCACAGGCTATAAATACACTGAATCTCTTATTCACTGCTGGTAGGAGTAAAAATTGTTCTAATGCTTCAGAAGACAATTTAGCATTATGTAAGGTGAACATTTTCTCCAAATCAGTGATTTCACCCAAAAAGAAGTCCTACATGTACGTAAGAATTTCCATAATGAGCCAGCAACAGGAACATGCATAAATAAAAAGGACTACACTCAAGCTAGACTTTACACAACAGTCAAAATAAGTCCGTGAGAGCTGGTATGTAGCTCAGTGGTAAAGCAAAAAAGCCCTGGGTTTAATCCTCAGCACCATTAAAAAAAAAAAAAAAACAACATGAAAACTCGGATGGATGAATGGATGGATGGAGACTGGCTGACCTTTTTTATAAAGTAAAAAAAAGGCTTAGATTTTTATAATGGGCTTTTAAAATTACATGTTGATGGGATCAAACTAAATAAAAACGAAAGAATGGAGAGGGTGACTAAGATTTGAGATGCTGGTTATCCTGGAGCAAAGAAACCAGATAAGCCAGGCATGGTGGAGCATACCTGTAATCCCATGCATTCGGGAGACTGAAGCAGGGGGATCGCCACAAGTTCAAGTTCAGCCTTGGCTACATAGTCAGTTCAAAGCCAGCCTGAACTACAAAATGAGACTCTATCTCAACAAAACAAAACAAAACAAGCCAGATAATAATTCTGGGATGGATGGCAGGGGGCCCAAGAAATAGGTGCCTACATTTTCTCCAAACACCATGTTTCATGTTAAAATTGTTTTTAAAATTGAGAATGGTCTTTCCAAAAGAGAAGGTAACTAGAGAAACATCTGATTCCATCAGCCATACTTACCAACCGGTTAACCTGATTCTACCACTCCCTACAGAAAAGAGACTGTGAATTGAAAATGCTTTCACTCTGTTTTCAGCTCATAATCACCCAAACCTTGCCTCTCTCCAAGGCATACACCCTTGGAGAACTACTGAGAGTTGGGCATGTGGGGAGAGGAGAGTAGATAACACACCAAGCCATCAGTAAGGCACCGTGCTGCTGTCAGGGTGACAGGGAGGATGCTTGGTCCTTGATCTTGGCTAGTATGAGGAGGGACTCAGATCAGAAGTGGGGACAAGACAGTGCAGCAAATGTCTGAATTGCTGAGAGGCAGATGGAGGAGACCAAAACGTTCTTAGAAGGCAGAGCTTGGGGTCCAGAGAAGTTGCCATTCCAGCTCCACTTCAAAAAGGCCTTTCCTGCAGGCAGACTTACTCATCCCTAGTGGCATCCAGACACGTGGCTTGAAAGCTGGATGCCTCTGGGTGAGCCACTTAAGTTCATTCATTCAGCCTGTTTCCTAGCCAGTTTTAAATGGAACTAAACAAAAACATGAGGCTGCATAAATATAAGGAATCATTCATTCCACCAGGTGAGTCAAGCAACAACTGTGTCCACCTTGGAATCTGGAAGTATCCAAAAATGAAACTTCTGAGCTGGCTGTACAAGCACTCAAGCATGCACGCACACACACACACACACACACACGCACACACGCACACGCACACATACACACACACACACACACACATTACCACTCCCTCCTGCCCCTCAAACTAGGATTTGCCTCCACAACCTCATCAGCAACCAGAAAGAAATTTTACTAATTACCTGAAGAATCTGTACATTTCAGGTTTCCTTCAAAGAACAACCATCAACAAGGGGTGACCACAATATACAATGAATGTTTAAATTTTTTAAAATGTATTATAGTAAAAGACACGTTGCCATTAACCCCCTCTCAAAATACTTCCCCTTGCTTCAAACACTCTTATCCCACTGTTCTTACAACTCTCTAAAGCAGTTCTGGAAGTCTCTCTCCTGAATCCCTTCACAAGGTATGATCAAAAATATGGTGAATGCTGCTGCCAAGTGCCATCCAATGGAAAAGTATGTTTGTAAAAAACATTATAGTGTGAGCTCATCCACCTTATTCATCAGATCTGGCACCATGCAACTTCTGGCTCCTCCCCAAAGTCAAAGTGATCATGAAAGATAAAAGTTTTGAATCACTGGGGCCGGGGATTTAGCTCAGTGGTTCCGCCGCTTGCCTGGCAAGCACAAGGTTCAGAGTTCAATCCCTGGTACCAAAAAAGAAAAGAAAAAAACAAGTTTTGAATCACTTTAGGACACCAATGCAGCCACAAGAGCTCAACCAAAGACACAGGAGAAAGGACTCCCAGAACTACTTCAGAAAGTGGCAAGAACAATAAGATAAATGTGTTCGAAGTAAGGGGAAGTATTTCGAGGGGACTTAATGACAATGTGTCTTTTACTGTAATAAAAATTTTTTTTTTGTTTTTTTTTTGAGTCAGGGTCTCCCTTTGTAGCTCAGGCTGGCCCTGAACTCACTATGTAGCCCAGGCTGGCCTCAAACTTTCAGGTATCCTCCTGCCTCAGCCTCCCGAGTGCTAGGATTACAGGCATGTGCCACCACGCCTGGCTTGTAATACAATTTTTAAACTTAAATGTTCACCATATTTTTCTATCACACATAGTTGAAGAAAAAAAGACTGGACATCTTTGCTATTCCAATCAAAACAAACAAAAAAGCATGAGGTCAGGTTTTATTTCCACTAGAATTGGGCATTCCTGCCACTGTAGGACTCTATAGTCATAAACACTGCCTTGACGGCTACCATTTAGGACCATCTGGCAAATACAGATAACACAGAAATGCTGAGCATAAGGCTGAGTGGGCATTAGGACATAGCTAGGACAGATCTACAGACTTGAATACTCAGCTTCACATTTGCAGGGACAACTTTATTGAAAATGACATTGAAAACATAGTATTTCTTGATACCCAATCTCCACAAGAGCTGGCTTCTGAGAGTTGAATTCACTCAGCCCAGTGTAGTGGCACACACCTGTAATCCCAGCATTCAGAAGGCTGAGGCAGGTGGGATTGCCATGAGTGTGAGACCAGCCTGGACTACATAGAGAGTTCAAGGACAGCCCAAACCACATACCTACATCCTGTCTTAAGAAAAAAAAAAAAAACCCAGTTTCCAGCTGGATGTGGTGGCACAGACCTATAATCCCAGCACTCTGGGAGGCTGAGGCAGTGTGACTGCAAATTTGAGCCCAGCCTAGACAACTCAGCAAGACTTAAAAGAAAACAAAAAAAGATCTGGGAATTTAGCTCAGTGCAAAGGCCCCGGGCTCATTTTGAAGGAAGGAAGGAAGGAAGGAAAGAAAAGAAAGAAAGAAAGAGGAACCAAGTAAACTCTCAGACCCTCCCTTGGCCCAAGAAAAGAGAAACTCATTCATTTTATTCCAACAAGCACTTCAGGGAATTCTAATACATGCTCAAGTTTGAGAACCACTGGTTTAGAGTCATATAAGATCAAAAAGCTTAAACTGGGCCAGGGATGTAGCTGAGCAGCACAGCACCTGCCTGGCAAGTTCAAGGTCCTGAGTTTGATCCCTGGTAGAAAAAAAAAAAAAAAAAAAAGTTTAAACCAACCATCCCCTGGAAAGATACCCAGGGGACAGCAGCAAGAAAGGGAAAGAAGCCTTCTGGAACTCCCCCCTTTCAACCAGTTTCAGTGGGGAGATACTGGGAGCTATGTCACCACTGGACTGCAATTCTCAATCCCATGCTGCTTCTGGAATGAGAAGGGAGACAACAGAACACTTTCTGCCTCTCCACAAATTCTAAAATTAGTTCCTGAAAGGAAAAACTGTGTTCGATATTCCTGTCACTTGGCTATGCCCAGCCCAGGGCCTGGCAACCAGCATGCACGGGGAAATGTGGGGAAGAAACTGGAGTAACTGCCTCACGAGGAACCCAGCAGCCCTCCCCACGAGCGGGGCCCCAGCACAGGGCAAGGCAACCATTTCCCTCAATCGTTAACACAATGATCTCAGCTCCTGAACCAGAACGGGCAAAGGACTTTCTTTGGGGGTTTCACAGGGTGCAGTGCTACCAAGTCCAGAGGAGGACTAAGGCCCCAGGTCGTTCCCTTACTCCACCTCTGCACTCACCCTTAAACCCAGGCTCGCCAGAGGTCATGTCTACAGGTCATGTCCACTCTTGCCAATGATCAGGGCGCCTGATTAGCAGGTGGCCAGAGACATTATTTCTCTGGAAAACATGCTCCCAAACATCCCTAGGCTAGTGGCACTGTCCTCCAATCCTGGAGGCCCTCTATCACCATCACCACCCTCCAACCTTGGATGTCCCTCCAAGGATGTCCCTCCCGGGCACTTCCTTACCTGTAGTAGGACAGCAGACCATTACCGAGCACGAACCAGCGGCGTTGGTAGCCCTTCAGGTAGTTGGTCCACTTGAGAAGCCAGCCCTTGTAGCTGTCCAGAGGGAAGGAGACCATTGTGTCACTGGAGATCGAGCTATTCCCAGACACTGGAACCCCAAGAGGCGTCTTCGCCTGTCCTGGTCGCAGAAGAGACAGAGGCTTTGGCACCGACCCGAACTCAGGTTTGAGCGAGGACTCCCTCTCCACTGCGGACCCTAGCGGGGCCAGGTGTTCTGCTAAGTCCCTGCTGAACGACCCAGGCCCTGCACCTGGGCCCAACTCTGACCTCGGCCCCAACCCCAGGAGTTCCGTTTCCTGCCCAGAGCCTGGCGGAGGCTCAGGCGACGTCTCCGACCCAGGCTCGGATCTCCGCACGCGTTCTGACAACGACTCCCTCTCCGGAGCCGGCACCAGCTGGGGCTGAGGCTTGGGCTCCAGCCCGCAGCCCGAAGTGGCAGCAGTCATGCCTGGAGTCGCCGTGTGGCACGACAAGCAGGGGACAACAGTAAACAGCGACGAGAGCCCTCGCGAGCGGCCGCCGCAGCCGCCGCTTCTACTCTGAGCGGCCGCTTTCCCCATAGAGCACGCGGACCAAAGCGCGTCCGAGCGGAGAGCTGGGCGGGGAGCAAGACGAGGAGGGCGGGGAGCGCAGCGGGGCTAGGCTGGGTGGAGCGGGCGGGGCCGTCACGTGCGCGCGGCAGGGAGGGGGCGCGCGCCCTCGCCCCGTAGTCCCTCCAACCCGCCCAGAGCCTTGGCTGTGATCCTGCCCTCCAGCTGCAGCTCAACTCCGACAGCAGGCTGTCCTTGGGTGTGACTTTAGGAAGGTGTGATGGAAACACCTGCGGGCCAAGAGGTTGAGGGGTGAGCGGCAACGCGGAAAGAACCACGCGCTTTGGGCCCTGCCTGCCGCCCAGAGGGTGCCAGGCGCTGGGAAACAATGATGAATGCGGAGTCCGCCGCTCCCAGAGCGGCTGTGTCCTCCGGGTGTGCCCTGCCCCTCGGCCCGAGTGGGTTCCCTCCCTGAAACCTAAGAAATGAGCAGGGGCAGCAGGGGTGGCATTCAAAAACCACCAAATGGGGTCGAGGATTTAGCTCAGTGGTTCTGCCGCCTGCACAAGGTCCCGAGTTCGATCCCGGGTACAAAAAACAAAACAAAACCCCACCAAATGTGCCTGAAGTACAGGGGCCCAGACGAATGATGCTAAAAGCTGAGGACGTTCCGTGCCTGCCCCCCGGTTTTGTCATCCATTACCTGTTTTCTGTAGCAATGCCATGTACTCCTGGGCCACCTGACCTCTGGTTCATGCCAGGGCGCTTTGGTGCAAGTAGCAATATCCTTCATGTTCGTTAAATGCGTACAGGGTATTTTGTAAACCACACATTTTAGTACAAAGCATTCATTTATATGCGGTTCTTAAAGTTGGACCTCCTGGATATCCCTGGGCCGTAGTTGTGAAGGTTATCCAGTCTGTGCATTTTTCTAGAGAGAAGTTCCATAGTTTTCATAGGATTTCCAAAGGAGGCTGTGACCCCAGAAAGGTTAAACTACTAATTGTAAAGAATATCATCAGGGGAAGGTTTGATACTTAATAGAAATGATCAGAAATACAAGTTGAAAGGCTGTATATTGGGCTTCTACGCAGTCCCTTTCCGCTTAGACCTTCTCAGGCTCCTCTTGGCTCCCCCTCACATGCCTTATCCTCCCTTACCCACCTCCCCATTCCTGATCTTTGCTTCTGACAAGACCACCTGTGAGAGTCTGCCTTCTGCTTGAAGTGGTGGCCAGAATGGAGCAGACTGCAAGACCCTAGAACCAGGAGGTGAGACTTGCTGAGCAGTAGTCCCTGCTGCCTTTAATGGTGACTGAGACTCTTTCCCGGGTCACTTGTCCTTGAATGGTGATCATAGCTGCAATTTTGCCATGAGCTCTGGAGTGCAGATACCTACCCATCTTGGGCTATCCCATAAGTACAATGGTGGTCCTCAGATTTCAGAGGGCTGACCACACCCAGGAAAAGTGAATGATTTTGGGAAGAAGTGGGTTTTAGAACTGAGCTACTGAGAAATGGGGTGGTTTGCCTTTCACTTATAACCTTTGAATGATTTGAATGTTCTACTATGTGTATGTTTTGCCTATTCAAAAAGAACTGTTTAGGGCCGGGGGTGTAGCTCAGTGGCACAGTGCCTGCCTCGCAAGTGCAAGGTCCTGAGTTCAATACTGGGGGGGGAGGGGGGGGAAGAACTGTTTAAAATCAGCAGGGAGGCTGATTAGAATTCAGTTTTCCGTCTATATCTCCCTGAGATTCAGTAGGTCTGTGCTGGAATTCAGAAGCTAACTTTTTTTTTTTTTGGTACTGGGGATTGAACTCTGGTCTTTGTGCTTGCACAGCAGGTGGCGAAATCACTGAGCTAAATCCCCAGCCAGAAGCTTACATTTTAATGACCCACCCAGGGGATTCTGATGTAGGTGGATCATGGGCCTTTTTTATGGAGTGGGGGTGGGTATCTGTAGATTGAACCCAAAACCTTTGCACTGAGCTACATCCTCAGCCTTTTAAAAAATTTTATATTTTGAGATAGGGCCTTGATAAGTTGGGAGGTTAGACTGAGCTGAACTTGTGATCCTCCTGCTGTAGCCTCTCAGAGTGCTTGGATTATAGGCATGCGCCCCATACCTGGCTCAGGGGTCACCTTTTGAGGCACAGTGACCTGAAGAGCAAATTTTGAGAGCTTTGAGAGTAGACGCATTAAGGAAATCCAGACTCCACCATTCTTTGGCTGTGGGTACTTCAGCCTCCCTAAGAACTTCCTCATGTTGATCTATATAATGAAGGTAGTACCTACTTCAGAGGTTGTAATAAAATCGCATATAAAGCACATTTGGCATAGTAGATGCTTAGTAAATATTCTTTAGGTTATTTAACTATGGAGTGATCTGTAAAATGTGTTGGTGAAATGAATTAATCAGAGGCTGGAGCAGGAGATGAGACCAAAGTTCACAAGCTTGGGAAGCAGCCACAATAGAAAAAGCTTGGTGCCTTCTGTGTATGTGTTAATACACAGCACTCCTCAAGGAGGGAAGGTGACTAATAAATGCTTAACAATATGTTTTGACTGCTGCAGTAAATCACCAAATGACAGGGCCTAAGACATTAGTTCTGCCAAAGTGGGTGAAGGAATCACAGAAGGGGCAAGGTTTCCACAAAGTAAGAGAGACAAGGAAGGCAGTCAGACAAAGAAATCAGCATCCACAAAGCCCCAAATGAGAGAACAGCTTGTCTGGGAAATGACAGACAGCTCAGCATATTTGGAAGAGCAAGACAGGTCATGGAACAGAGTTGGGGGATACCACACCATAAGGAATGCCCTTAATCCAACAGAAAATAGGGCTCCTGTGGATAATAAGATTTTTCACTTTTAAAAGTGCCAGATTCTCATGCTAAAGTAAAAAAGTAAATAAATAAAAGTGCCGGATCCAGCTGGGCATAGTGGTGCTCACCTATATCCCAACATTCTGAGAGGCTGAGGCAGGAAGACTTAGATCAGTGATGGCAAACCTATTGCATCTGTGCTGCAGCAGGCTGATTGTTATTATTGAAACCTCTAAAAGATTCAACATCACTGACTTAGACACTTAACAAGACCCTGTCTCAAAATTAAATAACGTGAAAGGGCTGGGAATGTAGCTCAGGGGGGATGGTCCTGGGCTCAGTCCCCACTAACACACACACACACACACACACACACACACACACACACACGGTGCCAGATTCTTCCCCTTGCAGATACAGTGTCTCCAAGTTTAGGGCAGAAATATTCAAGATGAACCTATCTGGGACATATTGTACCAACAAGCAAAGAGGTTATTCAACACCACTGAATTTGATACCTGATGTGTCAAATGGATTCAGGAGCCAACATAAAGGGGTTTCCTCCTGGTCAAAGATGGGACAATTTGAGCACCAATAAGAATGATTGCAAATGAGTTGAAATAAAAATCCATATGTTAAATCCACAAGTTCCTGAAGTTAAAAACCAAGACAAAACAAAAATATACCTCATTGGTTATCTTGGAGGTTGCTACAGTACCAATTCATTGTTCTGAAAGTTGATAAAAGGAAAAATCTTGTCCTGCCTTTGTAATGTAAACTGTGTCTCACAGTAGCCCATATAGAAAAATTTTCTAGTAAGTGTAAAAGGATGATGGAATTAAAACAAAACGTCATATTTGGAAACTCCCTGTGAAATAATCAATGTGACCATCATCAATAGCTACTAAATGAGAGGTGTCTTAGTTACTTTCTCATTGCTAGGACAAAATACCCAACATTCCCAAGTTAAAGGAGGAAAGGTTTATTTTAGCTCACCGTTTGTAGAGATTTCAGTCTATAATTGGCTGGTTCTAAGGTACAGTGCCATGGCAGAGGAGACATAGTCCTCGGTGTGTCAGGCAGGAGGCAGCGGCAGTGAGCCTTCCTTCCCCTTTTATTACATTCAGGCTACCAGCCTACTGGTTGGTGCCACTCACATCCAGGGTGGGCCTTTTGTCTTCAGTAAATGCATTCAGCCACACCCATAACTACATTAATCTGATCTGTGGATTAATCCAGTTATCACACTCATATATCCTAGAGCTAGCCACCTCTGAAAAGCCCCACCTGTGAGCACACAAGGCTTTGAGGTAGACATCTATATAAAGCCATAACAAGGGGATTGATGGAAAACTTCATAAAAGATCATGGTCACATCACGTGAATCTACTGATCAATCTCAGGATCACCAAAAGTACAAAACAGAATAGTATATGCTTCCTGATATGAACCAGTAGATAATACATAGCACCATTTATGGTTATTTTTATATTATCTTACACCCTATCTCCCCAAAAAACTAAATTGAATCTAATCAAGTGTCTAGCTCAATCAGTATAAAAGAAAAGCAGGGGATAGAGGAACATGCTAAATGATCCAAGGAATCAATCAAATCCAAACAACAGGAAAATCTATATTTAAATAACCAGTTTTATTCAATTACAGTATCTATGCAAAAGATGGAAACAGGAAAATGTTATCAACATTAATAAGACATATCAAACAGATACAATGGGCAACTTTTGTTTAGATTATAATTCAAATAAAACAACTATAAAATACCTTCTGGGGACAACTGGGCAATAGTAAATGCTCTGGATTGAATTGTGTCCCCCCAAAATTCTTTTGTTACCCCCAGTGTGTCTGTGTGTGGAGTAAGGAAATAAAGTTAAATGAGTTCATGAGGTGGGACCTTAATTCAATAGGATTAGTGTTCTTACAAGAAGACTCCACAAGCCAGGTGTGGTGGCGCACACCTGTGATCCCAGCACTTGGGAGGCTGAGGCAGGAGGATCGCCTTGAGTTCGAGGCCAGCCTGGCCTACATAGTGAGTTCAGGGCCAGCCTGAACTACAAAGGGAGACCCTGCCTAAAAGAAAAGAAAAGACACCACAGAGCTCCCTCTCCTCACAAGGTAAGGACACAGAAAAGACAGCCATCTACAAGGTAGGAAGAGAGCCCTCACCAGAACTAAACAGACAGGCACCTTGACTTTCCAGCCTTCAGAACGGTGAGAAATAAATTTCTTTTCTTTAAGC